CCTAGGAAGGACAAACACCAGAAAAACGACACCTTGGCATGCCATTTTCAAACTACAGAAAATCAAGATACAGACAGTGTTATGAAAGCTGCCAGAGGGAAAAAAATCACTTTCTGTACAGAAGAGAAAAGGGGAAGAATTACATGCAACTTCGTACAAACTATAAGCAAGGAGAATGGGGTAAGATAGTGTTGAAAAAATCCCATCAATCTATATAAAGATACTTCAAAAAGCTTGTAGAAAAATGGACTTGAAAATAGGATTCAAGTTAAATTTATACCAAGTACTTAGGCTCAGGTTTGACATGCTTATGTCCCACATCACATCACAATTCCAGGGTTAGATTCCTGCCTACACACTGCCCTGGGAGGCACTGATAAAAGATCAAATAATTGGATTCCTGCCACCCACATGACAGAACTGAAAGTTCATTCTCTCTCTTTGAGGTATGAAAATATATATATTTATTGTAAAAAAAAAAGTAAACATCTATGCATTTTTTTCATAATGCACAGCTTCCATGAACATTGAAGATTGCTTATAATTTTGTCCTCCATGAAATTATTATTGAAAAGACAAGGAGAAATAAATTCTTTCTCAGACAAATCAAGATGGTGTAATTGTGGCAAAAGAATAGACACATGGATCAATACAGCAGAATACACAGCCCAGAAGTAGACCCACAAGTGTATATCAACAGAGAGACTGTAGAATCCTGATCAGCTGATGTCACTGTGAGTAGAACATGACCATGTAGGATTGGAATGGGGGTGTGGGCTCTACTTGGTGTGAAACCAAACCATGGGGCCTTTTGCGGGGGTTGAGGGGGAGACAAGGGAGCATGCAACAGGGCCATTGGCTTGTTGGAGAGCACCACCAGCCACCAAAGTACCCAAGGATTGACAGCAGATGCCCAACTTGGTTTATGTCATGGGCCTGATGTTTCAAACCTGTACTGCTTTGGTTATGTGGGACAAACACAAAGGCCTGATTATTTCTAAGTACTGTAGCTTTAAGTGTGATCTCGCTGTATGGCCCACGAGAAAAGCAGGAAGCTCACCGAAGGGGACACACTGAAAACAGGAATTGGTTCATTCCAGAGGTGCACAGTGCTGAGTCTGTGTTGGAAATGAACGAAATGGCTGGAGAGGGCAAGCACAAAATGACATTTGGAATTACCCTGAGCCTTTGTCGCGTAAAGGGCAGAAGATACAACTTCTGAATTATGCTTCTGACCACAGGGAAGGGGGGTGGGGTTCACACTTCCTGTTGCGCTGTGATTCTTCATCTTTTGGAGGTCCTCATTGAGGAACTGAAGAAAGCTATGGGCTCCTTAGCCCGTACTTGAACAACAACACGCACCTGCCACAACTGAGTATGCTTGTAGAGGCTAGAAGGCACCTGCCTCGTAATAGTTCCACCTCCAATGCCACATGCATAGAAGGTTCTCAAGAAATATTTACTAAGCCATTGACTAAACAGAAGAGTAAAGCATTATGGTTATACAACCATGACCAGAATGCAAACAGCTTAGGTAGAAGCGGACAAATTATGAGCACCTGTTACTCTGAATTCATGTATAAGGTTGGCTCTCGACCCAGGTTGAGCATTATAATCTCCTGAGCACTGGGGAAGGGACTGGGCAGAAGGAACTTTGCAAACTATTGCTATTCAAGTCTCTGAATAGCTGAATGCAAGCATCAGGGCCTGGTATAAGTACTGGCTAAAAGCTTTTCAGATAGTTCTTATGTGCAGATAATACCCAAGATAACACGACAGGATAAAGCTATCTCCTCAAAGAGAGCAGCAGTTGGATGCTGCACCCCACATCAGGGGGCCTGGGGTGCCTGGGTTGGAGTTCTGCCTCTGTCCCCGATTCCAGCCTCCTGCTAATACATACTCCGGAAGGCAGCATGTGATGCTTAAGTAGTTAGGCTACTGTCACTCTTGTAAGAGACCCACACTGAGTCGCTGGCTGCTGGCTTGAAAAAATATTTAGCAATAAGCATGCTAACCAAGTTTAATGAAAGGAACACATTTAACAGACCGGGTGGACGTTTCAACAAAGAACTGAGAACTCAGTGTACATTCTAACTAGAGCTTCTACAGATATGGGTATGAGCCCACCGTTTCTTCCCCTGCCCCACTGTGGGATCACTGGACATGCAGGAAAGGCTCCTGGCTTTGACCTGGCCTATTTCTGGCTGTTGTGAGCACCCGGGAGAGTAAAATAGCAGAAGGAAGGGTTCTGCCCAGGTCTGTCTGTCTGTCTGTCTCTCTTTTAAAAGATTTATTTATTTTTCATTGCAAAGTCAGATATACAGAGAGGAGGAGAGACAGAGAAGAAGAAGATCTTCTGTCCAATGGTTCACTCCCCAAGTAACTGCAATAGTTGGAGCTGAGCCAATCCGAAGCCAGGAGCCAGGAACCTCCTCTGGGTCTCCCATGTGGGTGCAGGGTCCCAAGGCTTTGGGCTGTCCTCAACTGCTTTCCCAGGCCACAGGCAGGGAGCTGAATGGGAAGTGGTTCCGCTGGGATTAGAATCAAGGCCCATATGGGATCTGGATGCGTTCAAGGTGAGGACTTTAGCTGCTAGGCCATCGTGCTGGGCCCTGACTATTTCTCAAGGTGCATTAGCAGGAAGTTGGATTGAAAGCAGAGTAGCCAGGAAGGACTCACACCAGAACTCTGGTACGGGATGTGGACATTACAGGCAGTGGCTTAATGTGCTGCACAATGATGCCCCTTTCCTTGTCCTCTAACACTGGGCAACTGTTGTCCAATCAAACCCAGGTTACTGAATGCAAACTCTGGTCTACTAAGTTGAGTATGTGTTTTTATGATTTTATCAAATTGATTCTTAAATGATAAAAACAGGAGCTGCCACCCCCAGAAAACCCAACTCAGAAGGTCAGGGAAGCTGGTGTTTCACAAGCACTTCTGGCAATCTCATGACAAGGTCAAGTCTAGGGCACAGCTCTAAACTAGCATAGGCAGGGGAAGGGGGAGTCAGAGCTACCTGGAATGACTTTTAAAGATGCTTATACACACATGCAAGATGTCAAGAATCAGAATGCAGGACTGGACTGAAAATGCTTGATTCTGATGTGACTCTCAGGAACATCTGGCTGGGCAGAAAACTGGCACAGCCAGGGGAGGATGGTTGATTAAATACCGAAAGTACATAGGACGGTCCCAGGGGGGAGGTGGAGGTGGCATTAAAAACAAGCTTTGCTCTCCCTTGGTTCTGCCCAGGATCGGCTCAGCTGCAGCGGGACTGAAGCTCACACTGCAGGGGCAAACACAGAGCAGTGTGCACATCACACCTGTGCTCCCGCCCCATCAAGCACATGGGGGCAGGCCCGAAAGCCCCAGGTGCCACCTCCACCGTGCTTGGCACACAAAAGTGCCCAGTGAAACCAAGGGTGGGGTGGCGGAAGTTGCTCTCCTGAACATCTGGCAGCTCCCCAAGGGTGCCCTGAGTGAGCCAACGGAAATAAGCAGCAGAGACATGGGTGCCGAGGTATCAAGACTCAGAGAGGACAGGCAGGTTTGCTGGAGGAGTGCCTAGGACTACCCCTAGGGGATGGCAGGCAGTCACTCCCCTTGGACGGGGATGGCACTTCAGTCCATGTTAGTCGGTTTTGCTGTTCCCCCCGCCATCCCCCATTCTCAGTTCTGCTGCTTTTGGACAAAAGGTTTCTTGGGCTGGATTTCTTTGGTTGTTTGTATTCTCCTTCTGGAGAGCTGTGCAGGAGCACAAGGTTCTATTCTCATTGTTCAGCGTAGGATTTGGGATCACCTGGGATGACACTGCAGAGGATGTGGAAGGAAGAAGAGAGAGTCATGAGGCAAAGACTATGGAGATTGCCCTAGCAGAAATCCTTTGAAAGTTTATCCTGGGACACAATGGCCAGCCTTGAGATGGGAGGAAAAGAGGGCATGGGTGTACACGAATAGGTGTCTCCGTGTGTCCACATGCACATGTACCAGGAGAGGTTCTGTGTGTTATTCCATAGCTACTCCCCTCTGCATGTTGGTAGGGTTTCATCTTAACAACTGATATATAACTTCAGAATGACAGTGTTGCTGGAAAAGGAAGGCAGGGAGGGGGCAGGCATTGGGTTGAGCATTTAACAAACTGCTTTGGTGGATGGGTGGGGTCTGTGGTGCAGTGGGTTAAGTGATCCCTTGGAATGTCTGCATCTCACATCAGAGTGCCTGGTTTGAATCCCAGTTACTCCCCTTCTGATTCAGCTTCCTGTTAATGTGTTTGGGAGGTGAAATATGATGGCTCAAATATTCGAATCCCTGACATCCAGGTGAGAGACCCGGATGGAGTTCTTGGATCCTGATTTTGGCTTGACCTAGCCCTGGCTTTGTGAATATTTGGGAAATAAACCAACAAATGAAAGATTTCTCTATATCTTATTCTATATTATTTTGCTACTTTGGCTTTTTAACAAATCACCAAATAAGTCTTGAAAAATTAAGGATATCCTGGGACATGACACCCTCATCCCATACCTTGAGTCCTGACTTTGCTTCTAATTTCAGCTTCATGCTAGTGCGTACCCTGGGAGAGAGTATGGGAATTCAAGGCCTTGGGTCTCTGCTATCACCTACATGGGTGGACCCAGAGTGAATTTCTAGTTCCTGACTTTGAGTGGCCTAGCCCTGACTTTTGGCATTTGGGGGCATGAACAATGGTTGAGAGCTCTCTGATCTATTGTCTATTTCTGTCTGCCTTCCAAATAAATAAGTACATAAACATTTTCTTTTGACAATTGAACAAACTGAAAACAATCCATGTCTGAAGGAAAAGGCAGGGAGAAGGGTAGCGTGCAAGCACCCACGCTCCATCATACCTGTAAGTGGCACGTCAGTGCCAGGGCTCATACCTGTGTGTCTGCCATCCTTCATGTTCGATGTGCTCAGAAAATTGTTCCTACTACTTGACAGTGTTTAATGTCAAGACAAGTTGCTGGCCACCTGCTCACCTGGACCGCCCAGTGGAGGGCTGTTTTAAAGTCTTTATCCACCAGCGTGGGGTCTGCCCCCTTCTTCAACAACATCTGGGTGTGCTGAGGTCGATTGTGGAAAGCTGCCCAGTGGAGTGGTGTCATTCCCTACAAGGCAACAGTCAGAAGGGCAGAAGTGAGTACAGATCACTGGGAAGAGGATTGCAGCTTGCACTTCCTCACCAGCTCCCAAGAATCTGGTTGCTGTTTTATTAGTTCATTCATTCAGCCATGCCTGCAGTTAGCAGCTAGACATTGGGCTTCTGCTTTGTACCAGGCATAGAGGTGCTGAGGACACAAAAGTGAATGAGGTCAACGTGATCTTGACCTTGGTGGGACATGAATGCCTTTGAGGAAGACAGATAACAAGGCATACAGATGAGCCACAGTGTTTTTCAGGTTGACAAACTCCAAGAAAACTATACAGGGGCTGTGATGGGGTGACAGAAGGCAAGGGCTGCTCTAAGTAGGCCTCTGTGAGGATGGAGATGGGGGTGGGCAAGAAGGCATGTAACACCAAGCCTTGGAGGTGGAGCAGGATTGCACTCTGGACATGAGGGCAGGACATGATCTGACTGCTGTGTCCCCAGCACTAGGAACAGAGCCTGTGTAAGCAGCGCTTGAATAAATGGGCAAAGGAAAGGAGAGTGACTTGAGATGAGGTTGGGAACAGAGGCAGGGATGCTCCTAGGAGGATGGGATTGAGATTTTCACCCTCAATAAAGCATCTAGATTTTTTTTAAGCAGAGACAAAGAAAAATAGGTTGCGTGTGGTTTTTATTTACGTGAGAGGCAGAAAGATTTCCATCATGAAGTTGTTCTTTCTGTGAGAAGGAGAGAGGGGATAGGCGAAGAGGGAAAGAGAGAGAGAGAGAGACCGACCGACTCTATTTGCTTATTCGCCAAATGTCTGGCCAGAGTTAGGTCAGGCTAACTGACAGCCAGGAACACAGTTCCAGTCTTGAGCTACCTCCCAGGTTCTACATCAGCAGGAAGCTGGATGTGGGAGCCAAGTCAGGTACTCTGAAGCCAGTGGCAGGACCAAACACCCGTCCAAGGCATTTGGATTTCATTCTTTTTAAAGCTTCATTTATTTTTATTAGAAAGACAAATCTAGAGAGAGAACAAGAAACAGAGAGAACAATCTTCCGTCTGCTGGATCACTCCCCATGTGGCTGCAATGGTCAGAGTTGAGCCAGTCTGAAGCCAGGAGCAGCTTCTGGGTTTCCCACATGGGTGCAGGGTCCCAAGGCACTGCTTTCCCAGGCCACAGGCAGGGAGCTGGATGGGAAGCGGGGCCGCCGAGACATGAACCAGCACCTAAATGGGATCCCAGAACTTGCAAGGTAACGATTTAGCCATTGACCCATCCCACTGGGCCCTACATTTCATTCTAAATTAAGTGGAAAGAAAGTGAAGGCTTTCAAGCAAGTATTAGTACAATGGGATTGATACTGCTGAGAAGAAATCACTTGGTGGCTGCTTGTAGAATGGAGAAGAATGAGTCAATGTGGTGAATTCCAGTGTCTTTCACGTTTTAAGTCATACAGTCCAGGTGTAATATAATGGTAAATGAGCTAATGCTGGGAAACAGCAGTTAAAGGAACCAACATGATTTGGGAGTATATATGAGAAGATGGTTGTTCCTCCACGCCCACGCATCCCGATCACAGGAGATGTAACTAGAATGAATCATGATAAAGATGCCTGGTTGAGAATACAAAGCTTCTCTTCTCATTGTCATTTCTTTAGGGAACAGAAAGACAGGAGGCACTGCCCTGTCTTTGCTCCTTTCAGGAGAATGAGCCACAGGGAGCAGGCGGGCCTTGTTCTAGAGCTAGTCGTGATCAATCCAGGGACCTCCAGGAGCTCTCCAGTGTGTTATCTCAGTGTTCCAGACAGCCTCCTGTAGGTGCTACGGTGGCTTCTACTCTGTTTTCTGTTCCTGTAAGTGTCATGGTGACTTCTACTCTGTTTTCTGTTCCTCCAGTGGACACGGTCAGGTGGCAACTGCAGACACAGGCAGCTGTGTGGCTGCATCTGGGAACCTGGATGGAAGCCGTGGAAAATCCCTTCAGGACTGGCCTAACAAACAAAACCCCTGTGATCGTCCTTGCTTTTTCTTTCCTCTCCTGACACTTGAAATAGGGGAGGACAAGAGCCTAGAAGAGGCAGAGAACATGAGATCAGAAAGCTTGGTTTCCCTGGTGAAGAGCGAGAAGAGGGCCACGCTGCCAGCCAGCCCTGGACTGTGATGTGAGCAGGAAATAGGTTTTTATCATGTCAGGCCCCAGAGCAACTTGGGATTGTTTACTATAGCGGTTAGCCAGCCGTGCCAGGTGCAGTTGTTCCTTGTTTTCTAGAAGCAGAGGCTGGGTTCTAGAAGAAGTTCTGAAGGCTGTGCAAGTGAGCAGGGAACTGAATCTGGGACTTGAGGTTTGGTGATGGCGGGTGGCGGGGGGGTGGACACACAGAGGTTGGAATACTAAATCTCCTCAGCCAGTTTCATATTTGAAAGCCCTTAATTATGGTCTGCTTTTTACGCGTCAGGTTTCAAGTGCCATATAACCCCAAGCCTCCAGATAAACTCTTGAGTGTATTTCAAAAAAAAAAAAAAAAATTGGTTCCACATGGAAAAGGCTGGTCTAAAAGCAATGGCACATCCAGCTCTCAGAAGGGCTCACTTTTGGTGGTGGGGGGGGGCGGTTCCTTTCCTTTTTAATTGGGCTCACCAGGATCAGACATCTCTGGGGAATCCAGTTCTTCTCATCGTGCGCAAATTTCTCCTTTCCCATTTCTGAGCGAGTGCCGTTAGTTTCAGAAGTAAAGGCTTCAGCATGAAGTGCCAACCATACTCAGAATTAAAACCATCGAATGATCTTTTTAATGACTTGGGTACCAGCTTCATGAGTTCTGGGTCCTTGTCTGCCCTCCTGCACCCCTAGAGGCTGAAATAATACCGGGTACATTGTCCATACTAAACAGACACCTATTCAACGAGTGGCTTTCTAACTTTTTTGTTTGGACTGCTTTTCTCCCCTTAAATGTGGCATTGCTTTTTGAAATCATGTGCATCAGAAGGAAAAGCACAGTTGAATTCTCCTTTTGGAAAAGGATCTTGTTTAACATAATCTTTGCTACCGACTCATCAATGGAAACTTGTTTACATCTCTGTTTAGTGCTCCTATAGGATCTTTTCCATCTCCTGCGGTCTAAGGTGAAGGCAGAAGGCAAGGACCTCACAAAGAAATGTGATCCAGTGATGTGTCAAGTCCGTGAGAAAATGAGTTCAATCACAGTCAACTAATGAGGTGTTTTTTTTTTTTTTTGGATTCAGAAACACAGTTGCCAAGCTTTAAGACTTGCCCATTGAAAACCAGAACAAAATGCCCTGTAGCCCAGCTCCTGTGTGTTTTGGTAAACTTGGTTCTAAGGGCTTAATATGTATTATCTCATGGACTCTTTGCAATAATCCTAAGTAGCAGCCAGGCTTATGGCCTATTTTACAGGTCAAGAAACTGAAGCACAGGTTCACTAAGTTGCTCATTGAGGCCAGGTAGAGACGGGATTTCAAATCCAGGTTTCTCTGACCCTGGAGAGAAAAATTTCCTTTTCACCCATCATGCTGGGTAAAAATGAGCTCAGGTTCTGAAAAGCTTTTCCCTTAGGGATTTTTAGCTGGATTCAAGGTCTGCTGACTTTCTCAGCTGGGGTTCCCCCAAGGGATAAGGTTACCTCCATACATTATTGTATCTGGCATGGCCCTCTAGGCTCTTTCTAAAAACAGTCAGCAAATTTTTATTTTTGTTCTCTCTCTCTCTCACACACACGTGTGTGTGTGTGTGTGTGTGTGTGTGTATACACATATATACATAGTTATTTCTTTTCTCAGTCCACTCTGAATTTGGGTGCACCTGTAGAAACAAGTGCCAGTCCTCTGAATGGACTAAACCCAAGGCTTGAGTTACTTCCTTACTTCTCTAAATACTATTACAATATAAGCCATCTGAAGACATATTTGGTCAAGCGTCATTTCCTGTAGCTTTTTATTTTTTCAGTTGAGCTAATGAGAAATAAAAATAAATCCTCTTAGAGGAAATAATACGAAAACCAAAACTTTCAAAAGCAGCTGGAGGGCAGAGGTTGGCATTGCCTAACACTCTTTGTTTGGGAACTTTTTCTTACACTTGCCTCCTTCAGCTTCCCCCACGCCCGCAGGCACTGCCCTTGTGCTCCGTGACTCTCATGAGCACGGGTGTGCCCTGCGAGCAGCCACGGAAGCCAGAGGTAAGCTATAGCGTGTAGGAAGACAGGTCCTCTGACAAGCTCACCGCTGCACCGATCGCAGAATGAGTGTGCAGGAAGTAGTTGCCACAAGAATGTGATTTGTGAATTGCACCTTATCAAGGATCCCTGAGAATAGGAAATCAGAGTCTGTTGGGCACCTGAAGGTTCCTGTATTCAGACTGTGGAGGCCCCGCTGAGAACTGTGCGGGAACCGAACACCTAGGAGCCATTCACAAGCACCTTGCAGCGAACACTTTGATGGCTCTGGTGACAGGTACCTGTCAAAACCACCCAGAAGCACTCAAATTTAGTTCAGAAGGTGAGCTCTCCAGGCTGGAAGGGAATATGATACTTCAGTGGACGTAGGGTTGGTTTGTAGATGGCTGACGGGACTAAGTGTGCGTTCTAACTATTTGGGTGCTTGCTAGGATGCCCTTTTGCCACTGACTCTATCTGCCTGGAGTGTAAGCCACAGCCATCTCAGTTGACAGCTTGCAAGCCCCAAAGTTTGTGTGTGTGTGTGTGTGTGTGTGTGTGTGTGTGTGTGTGTGTGTGTGTGTGTGTGTGTGTGTGTTTTACTGCACCAGAAATCTGATTGAGTGCTGGGCAGTTTTCATGTTTTAGAACTGCACTTGTAGACGGGGCTGGGGTCTTAGTGTAGCCATTTCTTGGTGCACCAGGGGACAGAAGTATGGCAGGCAGCTGAGAGGTCAATAATATGATTCTAAATACTCTGAGGGAGCTAGAATTCCATTGAAGACTGGTGCAGCTCTGTTGATATTTAAAAATTCACATACTATTAATTTCTTGTTTAAGAAGAC